TTTAAATAAAAGCCTAATATGCTAAGTATCTAACCAGGTCAACTAATCGCTATGACCACCAGGGGGAAGATGCTCTGACCAGTAAGTTAGCTTGCTGCTGGGGTCCAGCTGATGGGGACTGAGTGATACGGGCCAGACATGTCCTAGAGTCAACCTTCAGCGGTCCCATCCCTGGCTGGCTGGCCAATCTCCTTTGGTCCCTCCCCAGCCTCTAAAATATTTCTCCTAATTAATTTCCTTCCAATGTACATGAATCTGTACACAATGTGAGGCTTTTATAGGCATGAAGACAAGATAAGGAAGTTATTAGCAAAAGAATAAGGACAGTTTCAGGCAAAGTCACCTATCTTTTGGGAACAGGTTGAAGGCTCTTATCAAGCAGATTACCTCACTAGAGTTGATCAGGAAATTCCAGACTGATTGGTTTAAGGCCACATTCCTGGGAGGAGCTGAAATTGCAAGTAAGTCTTGATTTGCTGTTCTAGGGGCTCCACCTGGGCCAGTTTCTTTTTCTTCAACAGTGTCATGTGTTCTGTATCTCTCAGAGGAAGAGCTCTGAGCTTATTCCTTCATTTGGCATGGATCATCTCACCCATTGCTTTCTCAGACAGTATGTTTGGGAGATAGTTTTGGAGCTGAATTCCTTTCCCTCTGACCTGTTCTTCTGGAACATTTAGGGATCTTGTCTCCAAGCTCTGTGAAATATTAAAGTCGGTGTGTGTGGGCAAGCTAAATAGCCATCTCTGAAGGAGATGAAAGAAAACGAAATTTATTTAAGGAAAGGGGATGGGGGGTGTAGTATCGAAGGGAAGGGCTGCCCCACCAGGAGACATTGGGTAGGTGATGGCAGCACCCAGAAGCTGGAGTTTCGTCCACATACCCTGTTTCCCCGAAAATAAGACAGTGTCTTTTAATTTTTTCTCCCAAAGTTGCGTTAGGCATTATTTTCAGGGGATGTCTTATCTTTCCATGCGCTAGGTCTTATTTTCAGAGGATGTCTTATTTTCAGAGAAACACGGTATGTAGTCACTGGTGGAAAGCTTGTGTCATCAGTGGGTCTGGGGGCTGAATTGGTGGGCTTCGAATGCAGATGGAATGCGGGTGTGTGATCAGGTGTCTTTAGGACAATTTCTAGCTGGTCTGATTCCTGGTGTCCAGCAAGTTTTTCTGGTCTTTGTCCTCCGGTGGTGGGAAACTTACAAAAGGCCATTAAGGTTATATTGCCCTGGTTTTGTTGCTCTTATTGTTTGTTTAGTCTATGTGAGTGTATTGTCAGAAAGATTTCATAGAAACAGGAATGTACCAGCCAAAGTCAGGGTCATAGGAAACAATTAAAAATATAGTTTTTTTTCCCTGTGGCTTTTCCAACATCAGGTTCAGCAGCTGCACCTGTCTGATGCCTTTCTGCAGACACAGCCCTGGGCACACGTGGTACAACACATGGACCAGCAGAAACAGCGGCTCTTCTCGCAGGAGATGCTTTGTACTCTTTCCATTTGCAGGAGCAGCGTAAATGCAAGTGCGGGGGCCACCCAGCAGGAAACATTGGGGTTCATTTCAAGCTGGTGAGCCCAGAAGATCCAAAGCAAATGCTGAAGAAGCTCTTGGGCAAGTGGAAGGTGTGTCTGGGGCATGTTGTGGGTGGATCTGGCTGGGTCATCTCATTGGGAAACCTTGATTCAGTATCTCTAGTTCTTTGGTTCCCATGACCCAAAGAAGATTCTCCTGATAGCCTCCTGCCTAGGCAGCTAGTGTTCTTGGAGCTGAGTAGAGATATCGGGCTGGGGTTGTGAGAGAAGTTGTTTTATTATTCAGCATGTACGTTTTTCGTATATCCTCCTTTTGTTTTACAGTCTTTTTTTCCAAGAAGGGGGATGGGTACTATTCCAGTAACTCAAATCAAGGAGGGGTCTTAACTTAAGCAGTTTCAACCAATCCTAATAATAGGACTTCTCTCTGCCCCCTCACTGCCACTTCCAGTGGTGCCTGAGGTAATCAGATCCTAAACCTCTTGGTGAGTTTTATGGTGCCAATAAAATTGCCCTTGAGTTATCCTCGTTACTGGTTTTCTAAATCATCTAGTACTTGTTCATTTTTTTTTTTTGGTGCCTTCCAAAATGTTCTTGCTGAAGCATTCTCCTCATCCTTATGTATTTATGTTTAAAAACAAACAATCCCATGTGTGTTTTTAACAGTTTCAGGAGGAAGAAAATGAAGATATATCTGTTCAGTCTAACATCTTTCCTGAGAATTACTCCTGTTTCTGTTTATTCCTACTGCTATCACTCTAATTTTAGCCACCCTCATTGTTCAGCTGGTTTACTGCCGCAGCCCGCCAGCTGCTCATCCTGTTCCCAGGCTTGGCCCATCCTTATCTGTTTTATTACACTGAAGTCAGAGTGGACTTTCTACAAAGCAATACTATTTCTCCACCCTCCTTGACACCCTTCTAATTTCCTTTTCCTCTTAACTTATAAGGCCCTGAACCATCTAGCCTTGATCTCCTATCGGTGAATCTGCACCAGAATGTTACCAATGACTGAACCTTGATCCAGCAACCTCAGTGCTTGAGTTCTGGGGCTAAGAAAGAATTCAGAATCAAGACAGACAAAAAGTTTATTTAGAAAGTCACAGAGATAGAAAAAGTGGGACAACCGGGCTGCGGGGGTTCAGGAAACAAGTTAGGGAGGCAAACGAGAGAAAGAAAGCAGGGATATTGGTGCCTGGGGGAAAGAGAGAGGGAAAGGCATAGGAGAGAGAGGGTGAGGGGGAGATGGAAGGTGAGGGGGAGAGAGAGGCAGAGGCTGGATCCTCTGTCTGTCCTAAGGGTTTTTATCTGCTCTCTAAAGGCGGAGAAATTAGGGCAGGTCTCAGAGGAGGATCTCAATGGAATATTCCTGGAAGGCAATCTTTAGCACACTGGAGCTTCCCAATGGATCATTTTTCATTCCATGAACTCTGGACTCTTTCAAAGGGATCTGATTGTTTTGAATTTTGCACAGCCCTAGATATATTCTCTTTTTATAAAAAGGTCTTTGTCCTAGCTGATTTGGCTCAGTGGATAGAGTGTTGGCCCTCGGACTGAAGGTTCTGGGTTCGATTCAAATCAAGAGTACTTTCCTTGGTTGCAGGCTTGATCCCACATGTGGAAGGCAGCCAATCGATGTGTCTCTCTCACATCGATGTTTCTTTCTCTCTGTGTCACTCTACCTCCCTTTCACTCTCTAAAAATCAATGAAAAAAATATCCTAAGTTGAGGATTAATAAACATAAAATATTAGGTCTTTGCTCCTGACTATAGGAGCACTGTGGAATGTCACTGGCAGGCAGCTGCTGCTCCCGGGACAGGTCAATGATGGAATTCAAAAGGAATGGGGAGTGGGTGTGGAATGAGTGTCTGTTCCCTGCAGGCCAGTGTGGTCTCAGACCTTTAGACTCATTGTAAGCTGCCACTGCCAACACTAGACCAAAGCCTGTGACTTGTCAGTGTGCAGGTGACATCATTAGAGGCTGATGCTAGCCTCGGGGCCTCAGGCCATAGCCCTGCCTCTGACCCAGCTTTTCCTGGTAATCTCCTCTAAGGTGTTGTTCTCGACACACACCGGGAGACCGCGGAGAAATTTCCTGGAGACCTCTACTCAGGTGTTATTTCCAAGATGCACAGGAGATGGCAGCAGAGAACAGCATTTCTGGTTGTTTTCAAGAGGGAACTAGCCGGCAGCAGAGAAAAACTCTTCCTGGTGACCTTCACTCGGTGTTCCTCCCAAGGTGCCCACAAGCTGGAAGAAAAGAGCATTTTCCTGCCTCGAGGGCTCTGCCCTCTTTGCATTACAATGAGGATACAGAGCCCTGGTAATAAGCTCACTTTAAAAAATATATATTTTATTGATTTTTTAGAGAGGGAGAGGGCTAGAGAGTTAGAAATATCAATGAGAGAGAATCATCGATCAGCTGCCTCCTGCGCACCTCCTACTGGGGATGTGCCCATAACCAATGTACATGCCCTTGACCGGAATCAAACCTGGGACCCTTCAGTCCACAGGTCAACGCTCTATCCACTGAGCAATAAAAAACCATTAGGGCAATAAGCTCACTTTGATATAATTCATATTTCTAAGCCCTCACATACTCATCTGACCTACTGCCCCTCTTGGTAGATGAGGCAGGAGCATATGTTATCTCCAAAGATGAACTGATTCTAACATAACGGAGGCCTTAAATGGGCCAAGATGGGCCAGAAGAGGGAGCACATCCTGGACTAATGGAGGAATCTCACAGTCCTTGCAGCTTTGGGTTGAATCTTGGTCATTATTTTTGAAGAAAATCTGCACATTACCGAATGGCCCACCTTGCCATACACCCGCCCCAGGGGTAGAACTTGGGCAGGCAGCTGGGGAAGGGGACAGAGAGGGAGGAAAAGAGGAGGAGGTGCCCTTGCCCTCTCCCCCGCATCCTACCTAGACGTGCAGCCAAAGCTAGGCCCATGGAGCCTACACAGTCTGCCTCGCTCCAGATGCCGGAGCGGAGTCCTCGGTGGCGCGGTAACGCTCGGTAAAGCTCTGGTGTGCGCCGTGAGGAGCATCGCAGAGATGGGGCTCTAGCTCCCTTCCGGATGGACGGCACAGGAGCACGTGCTGCACCGCCAGCGACGTCCAGAGGGGCGCACGCATGCGCAGGAGGCCTCTGCGCATGCGCAGATAGATTCCCCAGACCTAAATCTTTATATTTATATATGCTTACATGAGACATCTCATTAAATGTTCTTCCTATTCCTTGTGGGCCACTCGGCAGCCCGGAAGTGTGCCCGCCGGCCCGCCCCGCTCCCACCTTTAAGGACTTTCACTGGCGTTTGCCCACAACCGTTATCCTGCCTCCCGGAAGGTGGTGTGGAAGGTGGTGTGAAGCGCATTGCGCAGGCGCGCTACAGACGCCCCGCCCCCTCGCGGGTGTCGTCCAATCCCAGCCGAGGTGCCAACCAGGCGCCCACGAGCTGAGAGGGAATGGCGGGGCGGCCGGGGCCCTCGAGGTCTGAGCCCGCGGCGGCAGCGGACCAGGCTGGGAAGGCCGAAGGTGGTGCGGGGTCCGGGGCCGTGGGGGGCGGAGGGCGGGGTACAGGTCTTCGTTGGGGGCGGGCGGGGGCGCAGGTGGATTCCCCTCCGGACCAGGCCGGCCTCCGCGGCCTAGCGCCCGCGGGAAGAGGTCACCATCTGCGCGGGGCGCACAGAGGGCGGCTGCGGGCGGAGAAGGGGTTTGGATTCTGGAGGGAACACACAAGTGCGGGCACATTTTTAATCCTCTTGTTTGATCTTCTGCGGGGTCTGTGTCGTTACTACTTCTTGGGGACATGTCTTAACCGTCGTTTGAGGGTCAGATGTTAATGTCGGCCTCGAGGGGTCACTGCAGGGCGAGTGTCCTTGATCCCCCCCACGGCCCCGCAGGGGGTGCTGGGTAACGAAGCGTTGCGTCTGCTGATGGCGAAGGGACTCAGTTTATCTCTCGTGCCGTTTCCACCTCAAGACAAGGAGCCTGGGCACCTCTCTGACGGGAGGTCCGCCCTCCGCCCACCTCAGTCCCAGCCCAAGGCTGTCGGATCCCTCCTCACCCTCTCACTCCTACAGGATTCTGAGATGTCCTGTCTTGTCTCCACAGGGCAGGCCAAGTCCTCACAGAAAATTGAAAACTTGATGGATATGGTGAAGAAGTTGCAGAAAGGTCATATGTCTCCATTATAACTGAGGCTCAAACAGAAGGGGATTCAACTACAGGCCCCACAGTTCACAGCCTTTGGAAATTGATTCGTTCACTCTTACTTCTAAAACTTAATTCTTGAAAATAGAAGTATAGACCCATGATCAAAAATTAAAGTATAAGGGGATAGCAGGCAAAGCATTTCCCCAAAACCCAGTTGCAACCCCCTTGCTGACTTCCCTCTTGACTGTCACTATGTAAAAGGGATTAAAGTTAGACTCAGGTTTTCACCTTCTCCTCCCTTCCCTCCACCTCTCCATCTGCTACTCTCTGCTTGCTCACCAGGCCCCTCCCAGCCATGTTGCCATCTCAGGGCAGACCTCTGACTGACTGCCTCCCATTCCCATCCAAGGAGTGCAAGGCCTGCCCCCTCACTTGATTTGGGGCCTTCAGGAGGCCTTCCCATATCTGAAGAAGCATGTCCCCCTCTTTCAGTCTGACCCCTAGCCCCTCTATCTCCCTTGACTGCAGTTACCACAGCCTGAGTCAGTATCTTGGTTTTCTCTTCCTCATCTCCCCTGCCTTGAATATGAGCCACTGGAGGGTCCCCATGTGCCTCTGCCTGTCCTGTCATCTTCACTCAACCTCCTTTCCTTCCTGCAGAGGGAAGCCTAGAGCCCAGGGTTGAGGTCCTGATTAACCGGATTAATGATGTCCAACAAGGTGAGCTCAGGAATTTTAGCTTGTCAGCCAGGAGCAGCCAGGCGATTTGCAGGGCCCGGTGTAAGAGGAAAATGCAGGACCCCTGGTTCAGAAATTACTAATTATTTCACAACAGCTGCTGCAGAGCATTAAACAAGCACGAATCCGTCCAAATGCGGCTGTGAGAGTCCTGGGTCCCTTAACCCGGCCCTGCTGCAGACAGCCCAGCAGAAAGGCTCTGGAGGCCTCACTTTTCTGCTCAGTAAAATCTGCCCCCCCCCCCCCAGGTTTGCTTGAAGACAAATGTGAAATGTCACTGTTTGGTGTAGGAATGGTGTAGCTGGAGGCTGCACTGACAGTGTCTGACCTTCTGCTCTTTGGCACAGCAAAAAAGAAAGCCAGCGAGGAGCTGGGAGAGGCCCGGACTGTCTGGGAGACTCTGCAGAAGGAACTGGACTCACGTAAGTGTGCCAAGGTTCACTCAGAGGTCCCCAGTGTCATGCCTCCCTGAGCCCAGTATTCCAGACACTGAGCGTGTGTTCGTGGCCAAGGGCCCCCGCCCCCTCTCCAGCCTCAGGTCGTAGCCTACCAAACTCCCCCTTGCCTACTGTGGGTACAGTACTCCTAAACACCCCCCAAGCATACTTCCACCTCAGGGCCTTTGCTAGGCTGTGCCACCTCCCTCTCCTCCTCCCCCAGATAATATCAGTTCTCATTGCTTTACATCATCATTCAGCTCTAGCTCAGATATTCCATTCTCAGAGACCCTCCCCCATCATCCCATCTGAAGACAGCACCCTGCACCACCTGATTACATGCCCCTTCCTGCTTGACGTGTGTCCTCACAGTCTACCATTTCATAGATGTGTTTCCTTTTTCTCTCCCTTCCATATAAACACACCTGCATCCCACAGGGTCCTCCAGTCACCCTTTTCAGCATCAGAGCCCTTTGGCGCTCACAGGGAGTGTGGTCACAAGAGGGGAGGGGGCTAGAGGAGTGCTGTACCAAACTGCCCGTGTCCCTGAGGGTACAGTGGGTGGTCCTTGGTACCCGGATGTGCACTGATATCTGAACCTGTGACTGTGCTTTCCAGTGAGCGGAGAGAAAGTGCGCCTGAAAGAGATCTTGAGTAAAAAGCAAGGTAAGGACAGCTACACCGCCCCCAGGCTTCTGCCTTTGCGCCCCGGAAGCTCACTCCCTGCGGGCACCTGAGCCTTTGCATCAGCTGGCATCCCTCCTGTGGCTTCCACCGATTTGCTGCAAATGACAGAGTCCCACCCCGTGTCCACGAGACTCCACATGATGTAACCCTGTTACCTCTCCACAAACTGATGCCCGTCGGTTCCTCTCCCTGCAGAGACGCTGAGGATCCTCCGGCTCCATTGCCAGGAAAAGGAGAGTGAGGCTCAGAGGTAAGCGCTCACCTGGCCTCACTCTGCCCTGCCCTTCATTCTGGTGAAGAAGTGAGGGAATGCTAGACCACAGCTCTCCTTCCCTCCTGTCACATGGAAAGGCCAAACGCGTGTCTTCTCACCTCAGCTCTCGCAGTAGGCAGGCGTGTTATGGGTGTTCTCCCTCACTGGGATAATCGTTCTTTCCCCTAGCATACCAATTACATTCTTGTAGCTGGCTTTTATTCCAAGCCTTTTCCTCTTTCCACAGACTCCATGGCTGTCTATTCACTCACCTGCCTATCTGTCCCTTCAGCTGTCTGTCCACTCAGCCTCTCATCAATCACCCATTACTCTCCACCCACCTGACTATTTGTGTATCCGTCTGTCCACCTCCTGAACACTTCTTCGGCTCATTTTGTGACCAGAGGCACCAAGCCCTGGCGTCCTCAGATTGTTCGGGAAATTCAGAGGAGATTAATGTGTGTGCTTCTGCACTTGACCATGTTGATCTCCCTAATCCTCACCAAGATATTTCCCCGGGGGCATGTGCTCAAATCCCCCCACCAAGTTACAGAGAAGGACTCCCCCTAGAGGGCTAGGACAGAGCTCAGGAGAAGGAGGCGGAAGCCCCACCCAGCCCCTTCCAGGGGAGACATCGGAGACCAGCCTGAGGGCTGCCTTGCCTCTTCCAGGAAGCAGACCCTGCTAGAAGAGTGCAAGGAGCGAATCTGTGCCCTCAACTTCCAGATTGAGGAGGAGAAGAGCAAACAGAGGCAGCTGAGGTAAAGCCCAGCGCCGAGGCCTTCGGGGGCAGGAGTGGGTGTAGATGGGATGATATCAGGGAGGGGGTTAAAGGAGGAACTGGCCAGGCTAAGGCTCAGAGAGTCAAGGTGGTGAAGTTTCCCCATAAGATAAAAGAGTATGGGGAAGCCCCCTCCCCAGGACTGTACATGGAGACCCTTAGCCTGGGCCAGGGTCTGGGGCGTCTCAACCCAGGACTCTCATCCAATGTGCTTGGCCCCCAGATTGGATTTCGAGGAACAGCTGGAAGAACTGATGAGCCAGCACAAGGACCTCTGGGAATTCCACGTGAGTTACCCAAAGCCATTCCTCCCATTTCCCCATCTTCCATGGCAGAACCAGGCCCAGAATCAGTCACCCTCCAGGTTTCGTTCCTCTCATCTTCTCACCCGCCACACCCAGTGCCTGAGCAAGCCCTGACAGCCAAACATCAAAATTCCCGCCAGTCAGACCCTCCTCACCACCCTCACTGCCACCCATTTCATCCTCTTCGCTGGTCCTGCCCACCCACCCCTGCTGCCTTCTCGGGGCCCCTCAGCGGTCAGGAGGAATCCTGATGGACTAAGGAGTGGTCATCCATCAAGGAGATCCACACATATGTTGGGGACATCACAGGTAGGGAGTGGGGTCAGTGTTTGCCACCAAGGGATCCCAGCCTCCAAACCAGAAACTAGGCAGAGAGAATGAATGACAGGATGGAAGGGCTCAATGAGGGGCGCCCGCAGAGGGATGAGGAAGCAGCAGGGCTGGGCTGGTCCCGATCCTCCAGAGGACAGCCTCCTGAGCCTCTGCAGCACAGCACTGGAGGCAGCGGGGAGAACGGCCAGGCAGAGGCCCTGGGGCTGCACCGGCCTGGTAGGCTGGGAGGGCCAGGGCGGTAGGAGGTGAGGCGGGGGCGGGAGTGGGGAGTGGGAGATAAGCATGGGCCTCCTTTCTCCCCCTCAGCGACCGGAGCAGCTGGCCCAGGAGATTGGCGCCCTGGACAGTAGCAAAGAGCAATTGCTCAAGGAAGGTGAGAATGGGGGCGCCCTGCTCAGACTTGTCCTGCCCTGCCCTGCCCTGCTCATCTGTCCCTTCCTGCTGCAGAGAAGCTGGTGGAAGCAAAGCTGGAGGATGTGAAGAATCGCCTGTGCTCCCAGTTCGGTACCAAGGGCTGCTCTGCCATCACTGAGGGGCTCTTCCTTCGCAGCAAGGAGGCAGCAGCTGCAGTGTAAGACAGGTGGGGAAGGGTAGAGGGGGAGCTAGCAGCGCTGATGGCCCCACCCTCAGGCATCTGTTTGAGGAGGAGACCAGAAAGGCCCAGGAGCTCCTGGAGGACACTGCCCAGCGCCATGAGCAGCTGCAGGAGGAGTGCCAGCAGCTGCAGCAGAGGAGGCAGAGGTGGGCATGGAGCCCCTCTCCCTGTGTGTAAGGGGAGGCTGGTTCAGGGAGTCTCTCTCCTGCCTCTGTCTCCTGCCCTCTCCAGCTCTCTTTGCCCTCTCCTCCCTTCCCCTCCCCCTCTCTTATCCATCCCAGGCTGAAGGAGGAACTGGAAAAGCTCGGTGTGCAGGTCACTGCTCAGGCCCAGAGCAAACAAGAGGATGGGACCAGCCCAGAAGCAGCTGTGAGCCCTGGAATCAAGTGACAGCTCATGAAAGGAACTGGGGGGGCGGGGACGGGAAGGCAAGGAGAGGGTCTGGGGGTCCCCAGAGGATGATCTTAAAGGAAGGGCATTCCCACAGGAACACAGCCAAGGCAAAGGCTGTCAGTGGTGGGAGGCAGGCCCCAGGGAGGGTGTGGGTACACGGATTCCGGAAAACTTCCATCTCAGACCCTGACCTCCCACAGGCCAATCCAAAGCCCCTCGGAGTCAGTGAGGAGAAAGACCCAGAGCTGCCCGCCGAGCAGACCTGATACCCTCCTAGGCGAGGAGGTTCCCCTGCCCGGGAGCTTATGCCTGGGCTTCAGGAAATAAAGACACTATTTCTGTACAACTGCCTCAGCTGTGTCCGTGCTAGGGCTCGGGGAGGGGATGGGAGGCCTCTGAGACGGGGTGAAGCTTTGGCGCTCTCCGCACTCAGTCAATGGTTCCCTGGCCTCCCAGTCTCCGGTCTGCTCACCTCCAGGGCCCACTGCTCTGCGTCCCCAGGCAGAGGGGTGCAGGCCTGAGACCTCACAATAGGGCTAGGGGTCCTGAGAACCCTCCCTGTGATTGTTTCTTCCATTCCGTAGTCCGGTTTGGACAACACAGCATCCCCGAAATCCCCACCGCGAGGACCGGGGAGCTGGAGACCTCAGCAGTCGATGACATGCCCTCACTCACCCCTGACAGGCTGAGAAAAAGATGCAATGGTCTGCTCTCCTGGGCACAAAATGTATCACGGAGCCCCTGTCGCAAGAGTGTAATGTTAGCAGCCCGCAGTGTGCTGGGAGGCACTCGGGACTATTGTGTGCTTCTGAGGCACCTTTCAAATCCCAGAATGCATCAGCCCGGTTAACGGCAGTGTTGGGAGTGGAGTCTGTGTTCCGGGTCAGCATACAGCGAACTAGGTACAAAGATGTTCCTTGTCTTGAAAGGCTCCCACGCCCAGCTAGGACAGTGAGCGGTGGGGCGGAGAGAGGCCACACAGGCCCCACGGAAGCGCAGTTTCCATGGAAAAGCAAGAACAGCCTCTGGGGATTCTCCCGTCAGCAGGAGAGCTGAGGCTTCAGACCGGAAACCCAGACTCGGTTTGAACACCAGGCCCAGTGGCATCCTTAGCCTAGTCCCAGAACTTGTGACTGTTGCCTCACCCAGCAAAGGGGCCTCTGGATATGGGGTGAGAGTCTCGGGATGGGGAGACTGCCCTGGGCCATCAGGGAGGATCCCTGAAGCGGGAGGCAGGATGGTCCGTCAGAGAGAGACTGGAAGGTACCGCTGCGGCTGTGGAGCCTGGCCTGTTTATTGAGGACAGTGTGCACCGGAGGCCCTGCATCCCTAGTGCCCCCCTTCCCGCTAGTACAGCTGAGAGCGGCCTCCTCATGCCCCTTTACCATCTTCAGAGCACACGTGCCTCACGCGTGTGAGCGGGGGAGGAGACAGAGTTTGTAATCGGGCGGGATGCTGGCAAACCCATTCACGACGGGGGTGAGGTCAATATCCTTGGGGTCGACGAGAGACTTCAAGCTAAAGTGCTGCAGAATGGCGGTGAAGAACAAAAACAACTCCATGCGAGCCAGGCCTTCTCCGACACACACCCGCCTCCCTGCAGGGACACAGGACACATGAGACAGGCGGGAGGAGGCGGGGACACCCCCGTCCAGCGGGATGACCCTCTCTGCCCGGTGAAAGGAAGCACAGGATGTACTTCGGGATAAGAGTATCGGGACCACACATTCGGGGACCAGCCTTCACACTCCTCAACCACCAGGATGCAGCTGCCTAAACCCACGGGAGGTTGGAGTATGCTCTCTGCCCACCCATGTCCCACAGGCAAGAAGCCAATGCTATACCATCTGGTGGTAAAGTTACCGAGCTGGTTACAGGACCTTCCCTCACACCAACAGCTGAGAGAAGAGCTGTGGAGGAGACCCAGGCTCAGAGGTGACAACCTGGGAAAGGCTGAGGGTCCCATGATGGTCCAGGTAACCAAAGGTTACATTCTGTTTAGTAACAGGGGATTAGGTAATAGCGTTTTTGAATTTTTTTTTTTTTTTTTTACTAAGTTCTATTAAAAAGTTTTAGCCCTGAATGAAGTGAAATATCTACTGTTCGGAAAGATAATTCATCCACAACACTCATTCCCAGGACTCGTGGTGAGAAGATGTCATTAACCTCTGAACAGGGAGGCGCGCATTGTGGATAGACATGAAGGACAAGATGCAGGTCTGAGATGATGCAGATGACCCGGGGAGCAGAGGACGGGAATTGGGGACAAATCCTGGGAGGGGCTGCAGTTGAACTCCTCTTACCTGCGGAAAATGCCTTGAAATAGTCACTGTACTTGAACTTCCCTTTTTCATCCAGAAAATGCTCTGGCTTAAACTTGTCTGGATCGGGGAATTCTTGTTTATCAAACAAGAGGGAGTCCAGTGTCGGAATTAGGATTGTGCCCTAGAAGAATAAAAGCGCTCTCAGTCAAGTTAGCAACACTTTGATCTGGGGTCCCCAGTGAGGAAGGGGGTTTGCATTTTACCTCTGCAAGAGAGGAAGTGTTCAGTGGGGGACTGGATAGGAAGAACTCAGGGGTCAGGTCTAACTAGCAGTGAGAGGGCTAACCTTTTCACTGGAGCACAGGGCTGGTTGTTGCTGTTTGTTTTCTGGTGTTAGAATATCCCATCAACAGCTCTGGCCGGTTTGTTTGGCTCAGTGGATAGAGTGTTGGCTCACAGACTGAAGTGTCCCAGGTTCAATTCAGGTCAAGGGCATGTACCTTGGCTGCGGACTCTGGGAACCAATCGATGTGTCTCTCTCACACTGATATTTCTCTCTCCCTTCCACTCTCTCTAAAAATCAATGGAAAACACCAAACCAGTTTGGCTCAGTGGATAGAGTGTTGGCCTGCGGACTGAAAGGTCCCGGGTTCGATTCCGATCAAGGGCATGTACCTTGGTTGCGGGCACATCCCCAGTAGGGGTTGTGCAGGAGGCATCTGGTCGATGATTCTCTCTCATCGATGTTTCTAACTCTCTATCCCTCTCCATTCCTCTCTGTAAAAAAAAAAAAACAACCAATAAAATATATTTTTTAAAAAATCAACGGAAAACTATCCTCAGAAGATACCACCAATCCCAGGGACTATCTCAGGAGCCCATTTCCCAAATCTCCCCGATCTCTGTGGTAACCAGGTCCATGTGAGGCCTACTGGGAAGGGGCTCTCTGCAGTCGGGAGTGGCCGAGCCACATCTGCCAGAGGAGGTGTCCTTGGGCCCTCCATCCTGTCCCTGATCAGGATAGTGGCTGAGCTGGTAGGATGGTACTCGGGCTGTGCAGTCCAGCTCACATCTGACCTTGGGGATGACGTAGCCTCTGAACACTGTGTCCTCGGTTGCTTCATGATTCAGGTTGGAGGGCAGGAGATTGATGAACCGCTGAATCTCATGCACCACGGCGTCCATGTAGGGCATCTCTAGCTTGTCCTTGATGGAAGGGATTCGGTGCGGCCCAATCACCCTGTCAATTTCTTCATGAAGTTTCTCTGCCAAGGTATGAATGGAAAGGTGAAAAGGACTGGCTCGAGGCTGGCTCCACAGCCAGCCAGCCAGCCATCTAGGGAGCCCTCCAGGGTGCCAGGAGCCTTGGATTGTTGGACAACAAATGTCAGCGAGAGCTAAGCTCACCGTCAGGTTCTAGTCTACAGCATGTTTTGGCATCCACCCGTTTTTCTAATTATTATCGAGGTAACATCAGTTTGTAGCATTATACAAGTTTCAGGTGTACAATGTTAACATTCAACATCTGTATGTACTATGTTGTGCCCATCACCATCCATCCCCACACAATTAACTCCTAACCCAGGGGATATTAATACGGTATCATGTATGTGATTTGCCAATATCTCTTCCCATTCTGTAGGTTGCCTTTCATTTTGTACTGTGCAGAAGCTTTTCAGTTTGACGTTCTATTAGTTTAATTTCCCTTGCCTTTGGAGTCAAATCCATAAAAACATCACTACGACTGATATTAAGGAGCTTAGTACATGTCTTCTTCCTATGTCATGGTTCAGGTCTTAGGCTCAGCTCTTCTATCCACTTTGCGTTAATTTTTGTGTATGGTGTAATGCAGTGGTCTAGATTCATTCTTTCGCATGTGGCTATCCATTTTCCCTAACACTATGTAACTATCCAGATCCCGTCCTTTTCCATCTCCCCTTTTATGTTGTTGTTGCCACAAACTATCCCATTTTATATTGTGAGCTCGTTACCGAATTGAAATAGCTATCGTTATGTGTAACGCCTTCCCCCTTTAACCGTCACGCTGTAATTTAGTGTTAAACACCCCCATCTGAAGTAGCTTTGCCATTTTCTGATTCTGTCTGTGTCTTCATCACCTGCCTTGAAGTTGTGTGCAGTTTCACCTCAGGGAGAAGAGCTCCTTACATTTCTTACATTTCTTACGACGCAGGTTTAGTGGTGGTGAGTTCCTCAGCTTTTGCTGGTCTGGGAAGGCCTTCATCTCCTTCCGATCTGAATATTTTTGTGGACAGAATCTTCCTGGCCAGCAGTGTTTCTTTTTCAGTATTTTGAATATGTCATTGTACTCACTTCTGGCTCGTGGAGTTCTGCTAGTGGGGGTATCTTTGTAGGTTACTACCTCCCCCCCTCAGTTGCCTTTAAAATTCTCTGTCGTTAACTCTTGACAGTTTTAATATAATGGTTTGGAGTTCTTTTTGTGTTGAGGTAATTAGTTGTTCAATAGCTTCCTGTACTTGTATGCCCAGCTCCTTCACCAGGTGTGGGAAGTTCTCAGCTGTTATTTCTTTAAATAAGATCTCTGCTCCTTTTCACTCTTTTCTTATTCTGGGGTACCAAGTATTCCATGTTCCTTTTCTTTTTTCCTTTTTTTATAGTCAGTTAGTTCTCTTAGAGTTTCTTCATTTTAAAACCTTAGGTCTCTCTCCTCTTTCACGTGATCATTTCTCGATTTCTGCCTTCTCTCCCCTGTGGTCTGCTCTATTCCCAGGCTTTCTGGTGAGTCTTCACCTCACGTATGGAATTCTTCGGCGCCAGGATATCTGTTTGGTTCTTCTGTAGAGTTTCAGTCTCTTTGGTAAAGTGTGTTTCTGTTCATCGGTGTTACTCCTCAGCCTATTAAATGGTCCTTCTGGGGTTTTTTTGTAGCTCGCTGTTTCTTCATCCCAGCTATTTTGAATTTGCTATCAATTCGGTTACAATCTTCTGTGACTTTAAGTTTGATTTCTGGAGAATTCTCATTCTCATGGTGTTGGATGAGTTGTTCCTCTGCCAGGGCATTTGAAGTAGCCAACAGTTTTCTTATTTAGGTAAGGTGGTGTTTATTTGAATTCCAAAATCCAGCACTTCGGTAATTAGAGGCCTTCTCCCGCCTTCCAGTAGGTGGCGCTACAGCACACGTTTTTGGTTTCTCTTACCTGAGTTGCTTCAGGTTCGAAGGTGGCACGTGTCCCCTCCATTGCCTCTGCCAGAGTGCAGCCCTTCCCCCTCCCCCTCCATCTCCCCCTCCTCCTCCTCCTCCTCCTCCTCCTCCTCCTCCTCCTCCTCCTCCTCCTCCTCCTCCTCCTCCTCCTCCTCCTCCTCCTCCTCCTCCTCCTTCTCCTCTTCTTCTTCTTCCTCTTCTTCTTTAAATATTTTATTGATTTTTTTACAGAGAGGAAAGGAGAGGGATAGAGAGTTAGAAACATTGATGAGCTGAAACTGGTTTGGCTCAGTGGATAGAGCGTCAGCCTGTGGACTAGAAGGTCCCGGGCTCAATTCCAGTCAAGGGCATGTGCCTTGGTTGCGGGCACATCCCCAGTGGGGGGTGTGCAGGAGGCAGCTTATCAATGTTTCTCTCTCATCATCAGTGTTTCTAACTTTCTATCCCTCTCCCTTCCTCTCTGTAAAAAATCAATAAAATATATTTTTTAAAAAAAGAGGAATCCATTCATGTGAAACACTCGGCCGTGCAGAATGCAGACGGCGTTGTGTTGTCCCCGCCTGGTGCTGGCTCTCCTGTCCTGCGATCCGGAGCTCAGCGGGGTACGGGGGGATGGGTGTTCAAGGGTGCCAGGCGGCTGTGGTGCTCAAGGACACGTCCCCTCACAGAACATGCCCGATGCCCCGCCAGGGCTAACGAGCAGGCCACTTGCAGACTGAAAGCTGAAGCCTAACGCGCAGGCTGAGCGCCCAGGGCAGGCGGCCACCGGCCCGGGCTCCTCGCTGCCGGGCACATACCTTCCACCTCCGGGTGCTTCAGGAGGACCAGGAGCCCGTACTTCAGCGTGGCGCTGGTGGTCACTGTCCCCGCAAAGAACAGGTCGGCAACGGTCGAGGCGATGTTGCCCAAGGTGTACCCTGGCTCTGCTTTGTATTTTTCCTGCGGGTGTCAGGGACAGGCAGGTGAGGGGACGAGAAAGAGACCCCTGTGCCCCTGAGCTGCGCAGAAGTCAGTTCCACGGGGAGGAGCCAGGAAGGTGAGGGGCAGGGCTCCTGGCCCGGGCGTGGGGCTCTGTGCCCTTTTATAGCACCGAGGGCTGTCCCGGGGGCGAGGCTCTCCCTGGTCCCGTGCCATGACCTCCTTCCGCCTGGGGCTGAGCTGTGTGGCCTCTGCTACCACCCAGCACCTTTGGGTCCCGGAAGGCAGGGGAGCCAAACCCCTGGGAAGGCAGTGAGAGGGGTCCCATGGAGGGAGGAGATTTTCAGATAACCCGGGGCCATTCCCCAGGGAAGTCACATGCTGGTCCAGAACCACAGGGACATCCAAACAGGGGTGAAGTGTGACCTCTCTGCGGTGGGGGCCCTAAGGGCTGCCAGGTAGACAGATGCTGGCTAGGCCCGGAGCCCCTGGCAGCCACGCACTAATGGGAAGTCACATGCTGACAAGGAGCGCCGAGGGCCCCTCCCCAGATGGGACACGGTCATGATAAGAAGCACGGTGTGGCTCAGTTGGTTGGCGTTGTCCTATGCACCCAAAGGTTGCTGGTTCAATTCCCAGTTAGGACCTGTGCCTAGGTTTTGGACTTGATTCCCTGTAGGGGGCGTGCAGGAGGCAGCACATCGATGTTTCACTATTTATCCATGTTTCTCTCTCTCTCTCTCCCTTCCTCCCTCTTTCTCTAAAAATCAATTTAAAAAAATAATAATAAGAAGAAGCATGGTCTTGAGGGAGTTGATGGGAGGGGTCTCTGACAGCCCCTGACAGCTTTCCCCAGTAAGACCACAGGGGACAGCCAAAACCAGTTTGGCTCAGTGGATAGAGCATCGGCCTGCAGACTGAAAGGTCCCAGGTTCCATTCCAGTCAAGGGCATGTACCTTGGTTGCAGGCACATCCCCAGTAGGAGGTGTGCAGGAGGCAGCTGATCGATGTTTCTCTCTCATCGATGTTTCTACCTCTCTATTCTTCTCTGGGAAAAAAAAAATCAATAAAGTATACTTTAAATAAAAACAAAACCACAGGGGACAGTTGTGTGGTGTGGAAGGCAACCAGGTAGGCTGGCTGTGTGGGAGCAGCGTGTGTGGCCACACCAAAGCCAGTGCATGTGTGTAAAACCAAAAGCATCAGAATGCACCCAGCGTGGACAGCCTGGGCACCAGCAGTGCAGGTTATCATATAAATCTGACGCCCCCCTCCCCCAGCCATCTCGGAACACCAGCTCTCAGCTGCACCCGGCGCGGGGGAGGGTACCTTCTCCATCTCCATGAGCAGGCGGTCACTGAAGTCCCGCGGGCAGCTGGGGGCCAGGGACTCCTGGTGCTCCTTCAGTCTGGCTAGCGCGTAGTCTTTTAGTTCGGACACATTTTTCATTACTTTCCTATGGCTTCCAGGCAGGTAGTTGAACAGGCTTGGAAAGTTATTTTGAAGCTAGAACAATAAAGAGAAAGGAGAGAATTTCTCCCCTATCTATTTTTTCCCCCTGGATGCAACCTCATTTTGTGTCCTGGATGACTGCCCTCCCGATGGATGGCTGCTGCTTGTGCATTCTGTGGAATATTGGGGCCCACATTATTATTTGGCACCCATCTAGGAAGCAGTACTCCTCCTGTGGGGGAGGTGAACACAGCGCACGTGTCCAGCGGGAATTAGTTTTAAAGGGTGAAATGGGGAGTGTCCGCACAGGCAGCGCTGGGCCCACGGAGGCCTCCGGAAGGAATAGCCAGGACAGGAGTCCCGGCGTGAGCAGGCCTGTCTGTCCTTACACCCCGAGTTCCCCTCTCCTTTTTGAACGGATTCCATGTAGCGGGAGATGAGTGCCAACCAAAGGATGAAAAGAGAAGGCAGTGGCCTCACCAGCAGCCAGGGGGTGCTGACCAGGTACAGGTTCTCGTTAAACAAGGTCTGCAGCCGCAGGCAGGTCCTGTCCCCGTAGTCATAGCGCTTGCGGAAGAGGATGTCGGCAATGACATTGCAGGGCGCGCAGCCCACCACGAAGGTGGGGTCGAAGGGCTGGCCTGGAAGACGGGGGCACCGTGAGAGGGAGCCGCCCTGAAAACAGGGCGATTCACGGAAGATGGGGATGCCAGGACCTATTCGGGGGTCCTTCACTCCTCAGGGATTCGGGTGTAACGGTGAACACGTGATCACCACTGCTGCCCCCGCCCCCCCGCGATGCAGAGAGGACCCCCCGAGTGGGGGGATGACCGTGGCTTTTTTGCGCGCCCAGCTGCTGCAGGCTGTCCCGTGACCCCGCGACCCCGTGACCCCGCGACCCCGGGCCCTGGCCACGGCGGCCCTACGCACCCTGGGTCTGCCGGAGTGCCTCCACCAGGAAGGGGATCTCCCTCTGGATCCGGGCCTCGTTGCCCTCCTTCCCCATCCCGAAGTCGCGCAGGATGGTCAGGGAAGCCCGCCGCGTTTCCTTCCAGGTGGGGCCGTTATTGAAAGTGATTCCTGCGGGAGCGGGACGGCGAGGGTCACCGCCACGCCCGGCCCCGCCGCCAGGGGGCAGCCTCCCGCCCGGCCCCGCCGCACCTGTGTCCACTGGGGATTCATTTTGAAAAACATATACTTTCTTTTTTTTTTTTTTTTTCAATATAGATTTCAGAGAGAAGGGAGAGGGAGAGATGGGAACATCCATGATGCGAACCACCGATCGATCGGCTGCCTCCTGCACGCCCCCTCCCGGGGATGGAGCCTGCCGCCCGGCTGGAGCCCCGAAGGGGAACAGAACCGGGACTCGGGTTCCTGGGTCGGTGCTCCGGCCCCGGCCGGGCTGGCTGCTGCCGGGTGGGACTCACTGGAAAGGGTTCGCGAAGGCGTCCCGGTCCATGTGGTCTGTGCGCCCCACTCCCGCCCTTCCTTCCCCCGGGGCCCTCCCCTGGCCTGGCCGGTGCGGGTCCGCAAAGCCGCTCCGATCTCACCGATTCACCCTCTCGCCGCAGGCACGCCCCCGCCAGGCTGCGGGGTCCGTACTGAGCGGGGTCCCGGGTCCCCGGCCCCAGCCCCGCGCCCGTGGGGCCGGCTCCAGCGCGGGTCCCGGGGCGGGCACCGGGCAGGGAGGCGGGGGGCGAGGGAGAGGAGGGGAAGCCCCGGGCTCCGTGTCCAGGCCCCGCGCACAAGGGGGTGCCGAGGTGGGGGTCCGGGTTCGCGCGAGGCAGAGGCGCGGCTGCAGGGGGCTCGTTTCCATGGGAACGAGCGAGGGATGGGAGGGGGGCGGTCGGAGGTCAGAGCCCGGGGCGGTGCCTCCTGCGGACCTTGAAGCCTCAGCAGCACAGAGGGAGCTGGCGGATGATTTAAAATGTTATGGGCACCGAGGCCGGTGTGGCTCAGTGGATGGAGCGTCGGCCTGCGGACTGAGGGGTCCTGGGTTCCATTCCGGTCGGGGGCATGTACCTTGGTTGCGGGCATATCCCCAATGGGGGGTGTGCAGGAGGCAGCTGATCGGTGTTTCTCTCTCATCGACGTTTCTAACTCTCTGTCCCTCTCTCTTCCTCTCTGTAAAAAAATCAATAAAATATATTAAAAAATAAAATAAAATGTTATGGGGGAGGTGGGTAGGGGCGGGGTAAAACAAAACAACAAAATAAAATAATAAAGTAAGTTAAATAATGTAATATAATAACAAATAATAAAATAAAATAGCTCTGCTGGCGTGGCTCAGTGGTTGAGCGTCCACTTATGAAACCCCTGGGTCACCACCGTTGGAGTCAGGGTCAGGTACATGGCTGGGCCCCATCCCCAGTAGGGGGCGTGCAGGAGGCTGCCCAGATGGATGAGTCTCTCTCATCATTGATGCTTCTCTCTCCCCCTCTCAACTTCCTCTCTGAAATCAATCAAACATATAATAGAAAAGAGAAAATAAGATAAAAGTCTGTCCCGCAGTCAGGGCGCTGCAGGCCCCGGTCACAGCCGCTTTCCTGACGATGACTGTGGTGTGAGACTGAGTGAATGTACCAACCATCCCCTGACCGGACTGCCATCGCTCCACCTCTCTGACTTCACCGTGTCTTGTTGCTGTTGCTTCCGCCCCTGCCAGGCCCCGAGCACCCGCCCCGGGCACGGTGGGCAGGGAGGCGGGGGGTACCTTGGTCCTTGTGGGCCCGGTACATGTGGTATTCTCCGCGGCCGGAGAACTCCTTCTTGTGCTGGAGCAGCACCTCCTTGACCGCCTGGTAGCCGTGCAGGACCACGATGCGGTTGGAGCCCAGGTGGAGGGTGAACACCGGCCCGAAGCGCTCTGCCAGCTGCACGACCACAGGCGGGAGTGAGGGCCGGAGGGCTGCGCCTCCCACGGACCCCCAAGTCATTGCTATGGACCGGGAGAGCCCAGAGGGGTCCGGGGAGAGCCTGTGCCCAGCCTGGTGCGGGAAGACCCTCCCCACATGGCTCTCCTCTGCCGGAAGTCTGGTTCCCGGACACCTGCCCAGTTAGCCACCCCCGCCCGGCCGTGGCTACGTCCCTCCCCTGAGGCCAATTTGCCCACATCGGTGTGGCATTCTTTTACTAACTCATTTAGTAGGTTTTTTAGCTTGTTTTGTTTTCAGATTTGTTAGCTCATCCCCTGTTCACCACCGTCATAGGTGCAGGGCTGTCTCTGGAGTCTACAAAGAATCCCAAGTTGACACCAGCCCTTGTGCACCTGGTGTGAATGCATGACACCATGTGTGGCAGCAGCCTCCCCATGCCAGCTAGTGACTCAGGGGCCTCCAGGGCCATCCACGGCCCATGCCCATCCGGGTGCTCCATGCCCAAGTCCTGCCACCAGCTAAATATTTTGAATATTGCTCTTGGGCACTACTGTTAATTCCGTTCATTCAGAACAATGTTTCTGACAATGAGTTGAATGCACACCTCTTACATCTAATGCCCAAATTCTCCTCCCCCCAAATCCTTCTCTTACCCTGGTGAAGGATTTTGGCACATCACTGAGTTCCAACTGAAACAAATTCCCAACTATGGGCAGTGGGAAAGGGCCTGGGGGCAACTTCCTGCTGCTGTACACCTGCTTCCAGAGGAAGGCGCACAGCAGGGCCGTCACCCACACCAGCAGGGCGACCGTGACACCCAGGGCAGTCATGGCACCTGCTGTGGTCTCTGCGGAGCTCCGGGGCACTTCTGTGGAAAGACGAAGCTTTTATAACTCACCCTCGAGAGGGCGGGTGACCGGCCAGCCAATGCCACCTTCCTTCTCCTCTGGCCCAAGGTATTAGTTTATTATTAGCTGCTGATGGCCATCCTTTAAAAGGCTGGTTTCTGTAGTGACTGCCCCTGAGAAGCCCCATCCAGGCTCTGTCGACACTGGTTGCTGGCACTTGCACCAATTCCAGTGTTGACTTAAGAACGTCCAAACCGCGTGGCAGGTGTGGGTCAGTGGTTGAGCGATGACCAGTGAACCAGGAGGTCGTGTTTTGATTGAGGTCGTGGGTTTGATCCCCAGTAGCGTGGGTGGCAGCCAATTAATGATTCTCATCAATGCTGTTTCTATCCCTTTCTCCCTCTCCCTTCCTCTCTCTGAAATCAATAAAATCATTTTTTTAAAAAAGAATGTTTAAATTGCCCTAGCCCCATGGTCGGCAAACTGAGGCTCGCCAGCCACATATGGCTCTTCGGGCGAGTCTATTTTGAAGAAGTGGCATTAGAAGAAGTTTAAGTTTAAAAAATTTGGCTCTCAAAAGAAATTTCAATTGGCTCTCAAAAGAAATTTCAGCCGAAGCCAGTTTGGCTCAGTGGTAGAGCATCGGTCTGCGGACTGAAAGGTCCCAGGTTCGATTCCAGTCAAGGGCATGTACATTGGTTGCGGGCACATCCCCAGTAGGGAGTGTGCAAGAGGCAGCTGGTCGATGTTTCTCTCTCATCGACGTTTCTAGCTCTCTATCTCCCTTTCTCTCTGTAAAAAATCAATAAAATATATATTTTTAAAAATCTGTAATTCTCAAAAAAAACCTTACAAAAATAAGTGTCATTATTCTCATGTTAGGGACATAGAAATATTTAAAAAGAAAAGAAAAAAAGAAATTTCAATCGTTGTACTGTTGATATTTGGCTCTGTGGACTAATGGGTTTGCCGACCACTGCCCTAGCCAGTGTTTTCCAGTGGTGAGAGCGTTGGCCCAAGGCTTCAATTCCCGGTCAAGGGCATGAACCTGTTTTGCAGGTTCATTCCCAGCCCCCTGGGGGCATGTGCAGAGGCAAGTAATCGCCGTGTTTCTCTCACATCATGTCTCTCTCCCACTCTCCTCCCTCCCACTCTCCCTAAAAAATCAATGGAAAAAAAATCCTTGGGTGAGGGTTGACAAAAACAAAAACACCATCACCACCATCACAAAAAAGTATGTCCAAACCTGTACAGAATTTTTATAAAAGTTTATTTGAGCCAAACAGAGGATAAACCCGGAAGCAAGATCTCCACAGACTGAGAACAACGTTTTCACGAGTCTGCAGCTTCTTGCTGCATTTGGCAGTAAGGAAGGAACAGAAGAAAGATTACCTTCAGCCGAGACCGGTTTGGCTCAATGGATAGAGCGTCGGCTTGGGAACTGAAGGGTCCCGGGTTCGATTCCGGTCAAGGGCATGTACCTTGGTTGCGGGCATATCCCCAGTAGGGGATGTGCAAGAGGCAGCTGATCGATGACTCTCTCTCATCGATGTTTCTAACTATCTATCTCTCTCTCTCCCTTCCTCTCTGTACAAAATCAATAAAAAAAAATATATTTAAAAAAAAAGAAAAAAAAAAGAAAGAAAGATTACCTTCAGGTGGGGGTTTACAAGATCGTTAACAAAACCACGTACTCCTTTGAAAACTGAAAGGAGGATCCCTCTGGCATTGCCAAGGTTTCAGGAGATGCACAGAAACTGGGAAAGCTACTGAAAGCAAAAGAGTCTCAGCGGGCCTGGCCAGCGTGGCTCAGTGGTTGAACGTCGATCTATGAGTCAGGTCACAGTTTGGTTACAAGAGGTTACAGTTTGGCCAAAATCGGTTTGGCTCAGTGGATAGAGCATTGGCCTGTGGACTGAAAGATCCCAGATTCAATTCCGGTCAAGGCATGTACGTGTCATTCCAGAAAATGTCATTCTACGTAACGTCCTTTTCTTTTGTTTGGTAAAAGGGTTGAGAAGTTCAGAATACAGTTGGCCCAGACAAGAATATAAAGCTTCATGCACATTTGGTTAAAAAGAATGACCTTGACAGAAACCAAAGATCTTTTCCAAGTAAAACAAAAGCAGGTAACACACACCATCGCAGTGTCCGAAGGGCAAGCCAGCTTGGCCCAGGAACAAAGGTCCCCGCGTCAAAGGGCCTGGCGGGGGTCTGACTGTTCCCTGACCTGCTCAGCATGGCCTCCGTCTCTGAGCTGTTGAGCAAGAACGGGAAGCAAGCAGCACTTCACTGTGGGCAAGGTTAGCCCTTGGGGTGGAAGGAGGAGCCGCAAAGGAGATGCCAGTTGCAAACCTGAAAACAGACCGTCTTTCCAAGTGTGTGGAAGTGGTCCTGTTGACTCACAGCCTCTCCAACACTCATTGCTAACAGATTCCTTCATTGTTTCCCATCTGATGAGACTAAGATGGGATTTAATTAAGCCCCAATTGGTATCGCCCTGATTATGAACGAAGTGCATGGTCTTCTTATATGTTTGTAGTGTCTTCCATGCAGAGCCTGCTCCCGCTGAGTTCTCCTTGTCCTGTGGGGTTTCTGTCATCCAGTGCTTACGGGAATCCTCCATATTGGCTCATGGGCCTTTGTCAGTTGTATGTGTTGCAATGATTTATTTTTTATTTTTTAAAATATATTTTATTGATTTTTTACAGAGAGGAAGAGAGAGAAATAGAGAGTTAGAAACATCAATCAGCTGCCTCCTGCACACCTCCCACTGGGGACGAGCCTGCAACCAAGGCTCATGCCCTTGACCAGAATCGAACCTGGGACCCCTCAGTCCGAAGGCCGATGCTCTATTCACTGAGCCAAACCAGCTATGGCTGTTGCAATGATTTTATTCAACTCTTTGGGCCATTTTTTTGCAGTATTTGTACTATGTGTGTGGTTTTTTTGTTTGTTGTTGTTTTTTTGTTTGTTTGTTTGTTTGTTTTAATAAATAGATACTTTAAAATGATCAATCTTTTAGCCCTGGCCAATGTGGCTCAGTTGGTTGAGCATCATCCATTACACAGAGAGGTCACCAGTTCAATTCCCAGTCAGGGCACATGCCTGGGTTGTGGGATCTCCAGTAGGGGGTCATGCAAGAGGCAGCTGATTGAAGTTCCTCTAGTGAAAGCTCTCTCTCCCCCTCTCCCTTCCTCCAGCTCTTTTGGGAAGGTCATCCTTGGCCACAGTCCATTAGTGGAAACCACAGTCCATTAGTGGAAACCCTTCTTGCGTGGCCCACTCTAGGCCTTCCCTCGGGGAGGTGAGACTCCCATGAGGCAGGAGTATGGAGCAGGCTCCCGGCTGGGCCCGGCTTCTCTTAAAGAAGCTGACCCACTTAGCGCCCAGCCCACGCTACTGGCTCTCCCTCCTGCTGATCTTTGGCTCAGACAGGCCGCAGATGAGCAGATGTGCGGAGGTGCTGGGGTTCTGCCATCTCAAACGGAAGTAAAAGGCATAGCAAAGCGATTCTGGTATTTTTTTTTCCACAATAAAATAGGTCAAGGCAAGAACAAATTTGTCTTTTCAGAAACATCTAGAAGAAAATGAGGGACTATTGTCCAAAAGGCAAGACCGGAATGTAATGGCGTACCCCGGTCGTCTCCTGCCTAAACAGAAGATTGCACAGAAGATTGCAGAAGACGCAGGGAATTCTTACTCTGGCGGAAAACGGGGTGCAGTGTGAACCGTCTTCCCGAAGTTGGTGACTCCTTCATTGGCTGCTGATCTTTAAGCACAGCCTGTCCCTTTGGGGTGAAGGCTGAGGTGCTGGGAGCAGGGACTCCCACCCACAGGTAAACAGGGACCCCTGTGAGCACAGCCAGCACCCTGTAGGGCACAGAGAAGGGCCAGGGCTCCTGCCCCCACCCCCCACTGGTTTGCCAAGGGTCTCTCCCCTGAATGTATCTCAGACAACCAGTCCCTGCAGGAAAGATGGGATTTTATCTTAAATAGACTATTGCTTAGATAACTTCTAGATTTACATGAAAATTGAGCAGATCGCCAAAACCGGTTTGGCTCAGTGGTAGAGCGTCGGTCTGCGGACTGAAAGGTCCCAGGTTCGATTCCGGTCAGGGGCATGTACATTGGTTGCGGGCACATCCCCGGTAGGGAGTGTGCAAGAGGCAGCTGGTCAATGTTTCTCTCTCATCGACGTTTCTATCTCTCTATCCCTCTCTCCTCCTCTCTGTAAAAAATCAATAAAATATATATTTTTAAAAAAAAAAGAAAAAAAAATTGAGCAGACCACACAGAAAGTACATCTGGGGCTCACACCCAGTTTCCCTTATCATTAGCACCTTATATCAGTATGATATATCTATTGTCATTAATGAATGAATATTGAGGTATTATTATCAACTCACATTGTACAATTATTAAATGACAATTGGTAGTATTATGAAATACTTTATACCTATAGACTCAGAAACATACACGAAATGGACAAATTCCTTGAAAGGTGCAACCTAATGAAGCTTATCCAAAAAGGAATGTTACATGAATAGTCTTTTCCCCCCCCATCACCATTTATTTCCCTCTCTGGCGTCTTCCACCACCTCCCAACCCCCCCTCCCCCAATCAATAAACTTATATCCACTAAAAATTGAAATTGTAGTTAAAAACATTCCTGCAAACAAAGCTCCAGGCCTAGGTGCCTTCACTGGTAAAATCTACCAAAACTTAAAGAAACAGATAAAACCGATTCTACACAAACTTTTTTTTGGTAAAATTAAACAAGAAACTCATTCTGTGAGGCCAGTGTTAACCTTGTTTTAAAACCAGAGAAAGACATACGAGAAAACTTAATGCCAACATCTCTTATACATTTAGCTGCAAACTTTATTAACAAAATGTTCGAAGGGAACTCTCTAAACACAATAATTATGCCAAGTGAGCAAAGCCAGCCGCTGCCCCAGCACCCAGAAAAGTAGATGCTG